GTTGACAAGTGGTGGTTTCTTATACAGTTACAATGTAGAATCTGGAACCATATCAACAAACTGTCAGACACTATTTTATTAAAATACACTGATACATCTTAATTTTCAAAAGGATCTTTTAGCTATGTGTTATTTTGTCATATCACATACTGGTCTTCAGAAAATATTGAGGCTGGGTATGGTGGCTCACACCTATAATTCCAGCAGTTTGGGACAGCTAAGCAAGAGGATAGCTTGAGGTCAAGAGTTCGAGACCACCCTGGGAAACAAAGCGAGATGCTGTCTCTACAAAAAATAAAAATGGCTCTTCCCTTTTGCGGCCATCAACTAAGCGGGAGCTGCCAAAATGAAGTTCAATCCCTTTGTGACTTCCGACCGAAGCAAGAATCGCAAAAGGCATTTCAATGCACCTTCCCACATCCGCAGGAAGATTATGTCCTCCCCTCTTTCCAAAGAGCTGAGACAGAAAGTACAACGTGCGATCCACGCCCATCCGAAAGGATGATGAAGTTCAGGTTGTACGAGGACATTATAAAGGTCAGCAGATTGGCAAAGTAGTCCAGGTTTACAGGAAGAAATACGTAATCTACATTGAACGGGTGCAGCGGGAAAAGGCTAATGGCACAACTGTCCACGTAGGCATTCACCCCAGCAAGGTGCTTATCACTAGGCTACAACTGGACAAAGACCGCAAAAAGATCCTTGAGCGGAAAGCCAAACCTCGCCAAGTAGGAAAGGAAAGGGCAAATACAAGGAAGAAACAATTGAGAAGATGCAGGAATAAAGGAATCTTGTATACAAGCTTTGATTAAAACTTGAAACGAGGGGCCGGGCGCGGTAGCTCACGCCTGTAATCCCAGCACTTTGGGAGGCCGAGGCGGGTGGATCACGAGGTCGAGAGATCGAGACCATCCTGGTCAACATGGTGAAACCCCGTCTCTACTAAAAATACAAAAAAATTAGCTAGGCATGGTGGTGCGTGCCTGTAATCCCAGCTACTCAGGAGGCTGAGGCAGGAGAATTGCCTGAACCCAGGAGGCAGAGGTTGCGGTGAGCCGAGATCGCGCCATTGCACTCCAGCCTGAGTGACAAGAGCAAAAACTCCGTCTCAAAGAAAAAAAAAAAAAAACTTGAAACGAGGAAAAAAGATAAATAAATAAAAATGAGGCTGGCGGGGAAAGCCAAAGGAGGAGGATGGCTTGAGCTCAGGAATTTGAAATCAGCCTGGGCAACATGGTGAAACCCCATCTCTACAAAAAATACAAAACTTAGCCAGGCATGGTGACCTGTACCTGAAGTTCCAGCTACTCTGGAAGCTGAGGTGGGGGAATTACTTGAACCCCAGAGGCAGAGGCTGCAGTGAGCCAAAATCACACCACTGCACTCCAGCCTGGGTGACAGAGTGAGGCCCTGTCTCAAAAAAATAAAAATAAAAATAAATTAGCCTAGCATGGTGGTATATGCCTGTAGTACCAGCTAGTTGATAGAGCGAGGTAGGAGGACTGCTTGAGCCTGGGAAATCAAGGCTACAGTGAGGTAGGATCATGCCACTGCACTCCAGCCTGGGTGACAGAGCAAGACTCTGCTCAAAAATTTAAAAAAAAAAAAAAGGAAAAGAAAATATTGATCCGCAGTTACGCAGACCTTCCAAATACTGACATATTTCATCATATAGTATCAAAATGATCATACCGAGCCAGGTGCAGTGGGTCACACCTGTAATCCTAGCACTTTGGGAGGCCGAGGTGGGTGAATTGCCTGAGCTCAGGAGTTTGAGACCAGCCTGGGCAACACAGTGAAACTGTGTCTCTACCAAAATACAAAAAATTAGTCAGGCATGGTGGTGGGTGCCTGTAGTCCAAGCTACTTGGGAAGCTAAGACAGGAGAATTGCTTGAACCCGGGAGGCAGAGGTTAAAGTGAATCAAGATCACATTACTGCACTCCAGCCTGGGTGACAGAGCAAGACTGTCTCAAAAAAAAAAAAAAAAAAAAAAGTTGGTTAATACCAATCAACAATCTAATCACGGCCGGGCGCGGTGGCTCAAGCCTGTAATCCCAGCACTTTGGGAGGCCGAGGCGGGTGGATCACGAGGTCAAGAGATCGAGACCATCCTGGTCAACATAGTGAAACCCCATCTCTACTAAAAATACAAAAAATTAGCTGGGCATGGTGGCACGTGCCTGTAATCCCAGCTAGTCAGGAGGCTGAGGCAGGAGAATTGCCTCAACCCAGGAGGCGGAGGTTGCGGTGAGCCGAGATCGCGCCATTGCACTCCAGCCTGGGTAACGAGAGCGAAAACTCCGCCTCAAAAAAAAAAAAAAAAAAAAAAAAAAAAAAAAAAACAATCTAATCAGAAACAGCTTTCTTTTTCTTTTCTTTTCCTTTTTTTTTTTTTGAGACAGAGTCTTACTCTGTTGCCTAGACTGGATGGAGTTCAGTAGGATCTCGGCTCAAAGCAGCAGCCTCTGCCTCCCAAGCTCAAGTGATCCTCTCACCTCAGCCTCCAGAGTACCACCACACCCAGCTAACTTTTGTGTCTTTTGTAGAGACAGGATTTGCCTTCTTGCCTAGGCTGGTATTGAACTCCTGGGCTCAAGGGATCCTCCCACCTAGGCCTCCCAAAGTGCTGGGCTTACAGGCATGAGTCACCATGCCCAGCCTTAGAAAAGCTTTCAAATATTAGGGAAGTGTCAAACTCATGATAAAACACACATCTTCCAAAATTCTAATTTTTGCTTAAGCTCAAATTTTATTGTTGCCAACAAACAGTGTCAGTTGTTTTCCTTGAAATAACAGGTTCATATCATCCATTCTCAAGAAAACATCTTCCAAATACCCAAGTCTGGATAAACATAATTTTTCTGCAGTTATTTTTATAAAAATAAAAATGCTGTTCCACATAAAAAAGTGGCAGATTCATCTTGCAAACGACTTTCCTTAAGACAACCATCATACTTCAGTATATAACAAGAACACTAAACAGTACTTCCCGCTTTGACAATATTCAAAAGACAGGCACTAAATGGTCAAAATGTACTGAAATTAATCATTTGACTGCATCATAAAAAACTCCAAGCGATGGGTGCAGCAAACCACCATGGTACATGGATACCTGCATAACAAACCTGCACCTTCTGCACATGTACCCCAGAACTTTAAGTGTAATAATAATAATAAATATCCAGAGGGGAGGGAAAAAAAAACTCCAAGTGAAATAGCATTTTTTTTCTTTTTTGTTGTAAGCACACAGCAGAAAAGAATGCAGTGACTCCTATAACAGTTTGTGGCCACTGCCTTGTTTTGCACCAAGGCACCAGCAGTTTCAGTCTGCAGCTGCTTTTGTATCATCAGCATAAATGTTAACAGGGTGAAAGGGATAATAATATTGTGATATTATTGTAAGAACCGTTTGGATCTCACAGACTACCTGCAAGGCTTTCAGAACACTCCAGAGGCGCACAGACCAAACTTTGACAACTGCTGTTCTAAATAAATGCTCTTAGGTGCTGAAATGATGACAGGAACATCAGTGGCTCTACAAGTTGTATATGGTGAAGTGATCATAATCTGAAATGAAGAGCCGAGGATCTCACCTGGAAGCTGCATTTATGGCAAGCTCATTTTTACTTATGTATGTCTATTAGAAGGGACAAATTTACATGTAACTGGGCAATAACCAGTGAAATTTTACATACCATTCTGATTATGGGAATAACTAAAGTTATTTCTGATTTATCATGGCCATTCTATTTAATACGGGCTTATTATTAAGTGGCTTCATAGTCAAATTTCTAAACTAGTTTCTAACAACTAAATGTAGTAAGGAACATTTCTTCAATATAAAATTAAGCAGAAACAGCTGCTAATTTTTTTTAGTAGCCCACTTTCAGTTTAAACACTGCTAAACAATGAAAGGTAGTCATTTAACTTATAAGACCATAAATTTTAATTCAAGTAAAATTTACCATGTATGATATTAGGACAAATGTTTATAATCACTGTATCTTCTGATTTCAACATTTAGGCCATCGAAAAATACGCTAGAGGAGAATAATACAGGTGTTCAAAACGCAATATTCATTAACAACTCTTTTCAATAAAAAAAAATTACTCTCTGATGGAATCATGAAGTCTGTCAATTATAAGGAAAACAAACCTCAAAAACGTTGATTTAGGAACTGTTTAAAATAAGATAGAGTATACAGTAATAATACTTACAGAATAAGCCTTTTTTTTTTTTTTTTTTTTTTTTTTTTGAGACGGAGTTTCGCTCTTGTTACCCAGGCTGGAGTGCAATGGCACGATCTCGGCTCACTGCAACCTCCGCCTCCTGGGTTCAGGCAATTCTCCTGCCTCAGCCTCCTGAGTAGCTGGGACTACAGGCACGTGCCACCACGCCCAGCTACTTTTTTGTATTTTTAGTAGAGACGGGGTTTCACCATGTTGACCAGGATGGTCTCGATCTCTTGACCTTGTGATCCACCCGCCTCGGCCTCCCAAAGTGCTGGGATTACAGGCTTGAGCCACCGCGCCCGGCCAGAATAAGCCTTTTTTTTTTTTTTTTTTTTTTTTAAATTTGAGACGGAGTTTCGTTCTTGTTGCCCAGGCTGGAGTGCAATGGCGCGATCTCGGCTCACCGCAACCTCCGCCTCCTGGGCTCAGGCAATTCTCCTGCCTCAGCCTCCTGAGTAGCTGGGATTACAGGCACGCGCCACCATGTCCAGCTAATTTTCTGTATTTTTAGTAGAGACGGGGTTTCACCATGTTGACCAGGATGGTCTCGATCTCTCGACCTAGTGATCCACCCGCCTCGGCCTCCCAAAGTGCTGGGATTACAGGCTTGAGCCACCACGCCTGGCCTCAGAATAAGCCATTTTTAAGCTATACTTAAATTCTAGTTATTAAGTCATATATCCTGGTAACTCATGTTATAAAATTATAATTCATACAACTTAAATTTTTTAAAACCAAAATAATAACAAGGAAGGTTGACTTACTCGATCCGCTAATCCTCCAGGAACTATGGTCCTCACAACCACACCACTTGTTTTTCCTCCAACTATTCCAAACCCTAGTCCAGAGCCATCATTAATGAGCTCAACCTCTTCAACATGGCCCCAACAAACCTACAAATTAATGGCAAATAAGAGTCGCAGTATCAGTAATACCCACAGATCCTTAGCTTTCCAATATCATCATTACCAAAGTAACAGATTTGCAATAAATTGAACATTCACACAATTAATAAAGGCAACTTTCTACAGGCTAAGATATACAGACAGAGATAATCATACAGTCCCTGCCCACAGGAATCTCATAATCCATTAGAGAGAAACTAAAATACAAATAATTAAAGTACAAGGCAGAATCATAAGACACTGTAGCCCTAAGAGCACAGAAGACATTTCTCATTCCTCACTCTATGCCTGATGTCCAGCACAGTGCCCAGCACATAGTAGGGACCAATAAATACGTGTCTGCTTGAAAGAGAATCACAAATATTATAAAGATTTTTTTGCGGGGAGGGGAGTGCATGAAGTCAAAACCAATGAAGAATTATAGAAAACTTCAAGGAAAAGGGGCATTTAAGTTGCATTACAAAGGAAGACATTCAAGCAAAAAGAAAATGTAAGGGCAAAGCTAGGCCAGCTAACAGAATGGATGAAAGATATGGTCAAAAGATTGGATTTAACTAGGTAATTAAGTGGAAATATTTAAAGGTTTTAGAAGATAAATGACAGGAGCAAAGCAGTGATTTAAGAAAATTCATCTGGCAGCAATGCGAAGAATCTAATGGTGGAAGGACACAAGCTGGAGAAACTAATTTAGGAGACTCTTACGAGGGAGAGGAAAGGTAGGCCCCACTGAAGATATCAGTAAGAGGATTATATAAATCAGACTAGAGACATGAGCATTTCCTCTCTAGCTAGCAGGTTTCTATGACAAATGTACATTACTTCACATAATCCAACCGCAGAACAATATCCTCCCTCTCAAGATCATTAGAGCATACTCATTACTCTCTCTCTCTTTCTTTCTTTCTTGAGACAAGGTCTCACTGAGTTATCCAGGTTAGAGTGTAGTACATGATCAGAGCTCACATCAGCCTCAAACTCCTGGGATCCATCCATCCTCCAGCCTCAGCCTTCCAAATAGCTGGAACTACAGGTATGCATCACCAGGCCCAGCTTTTTTATCTTTTGTACAGGTGGGCTGTTTTTGTTTGTTTGTTTGTTTGTTTGTTTTTGAGACACAGTCTCGTTCTGTTGCCCAAGCAGGAGTGCAGTGGCACAATCTCAGCTCACTGCAACTACCGCCTCCTGGATTCAAGCAATTCTACTGCCTTCCGAGTGCTCAGCTAATTTTTGTATTTTTAGTAGAGACAGGGATTCACCATGTTGGCCAGGCTGGTCTCAAACTCCTGACCTCAGGTGATCCGCCCACTTCAGCCTTCTAAAGTGCTGGGATTACAGGCATGAGCCACTGTGCCTGGCTGTAGAGGTGAGATTTGACTATGTTCCCCAGGCTAGTCTCATACTCTTGGCTTCAGGCAACCCACCTGCCTAGTCAACTCACCTAATCTCCAAGAGCTGGGATTATAGACGTGAGCCACCATACCCAGCCAGGGTTTCTATTATACTAAATTGTGAAGTTACTATGCAGTCTTAAATAAAAAGCAATATTGGGATTGCTTAATAAATTCTGGGAAACAATCACGTTTGCTAAAATAATATGTCTGACTTAATATTAGCTGATAGCAACTAATAGTCAAAGAATGTACACTCAGCACCAGGCATGGTGCTTAGTTCTTCACATGACTTCTCATTCAAGCCTCACAACTTCTCTGAGAACTAGACATTGTTATTAGTTCCAAGTAACAGATGAAGAAACGAAAGTATGAGGTAAAGGAGTCTGCCTGGTGTGACACCACTAGAATATGGAAGAAATGGACTTGAATGCAGCCAAGCCCAACTCCAAAGCACTTGTTCTTTATACGTTAAACAGTGTCCCACCTTATTCACTGTATTTATTATGTAAATTCTGCTGTATAAATATTGCTGATTGCAACAGGGAAAATGCCTATACATTACTTTTTGTTGTGACCTTGTATTGTACCCAGACAGTCTTGTTTTTTCTTTTGTCCCAATGCATAAAAATTAAATAAATCAGCCAGCACTTAGTGTTATAAGAAAATAAGATTTATTAGCTTGCATTCTGATGATGCAAGCCAAAATCCGTAAAATGTTAAAAAGTAAAAGGGTTCCCAAAAAGGACATATACATTTATTCTTTTAAATTGTTCAGTATGTGTCTTTACATGAAAAAAAGCCTGCTATAATTTTACAATATCAATAATCTAGCCATAAATCCCCTTATAATTTTCAAAAATAATGTTTTTCAAATAAATAATCAAATCTTACTTTGAACACTCAACAGTAAATCTCTAATAAAAACTCTCAATTAATTGGCTATATCACCAAGGAACACAAGACTCTCCATCACTAAATAAATAACACCTAATACTTCCATTTGGCCTCTGTATTAAATAATAATTTTAAACAAAGAAACCCATAGGACATTGGGAAAAAAAAAAACCTTCAGAAAATATCTTCTTTAAATATGCTAACACTGCATTCACAGATATGATCATCTTTCTCGAACTATGAAAAGTAAAACAGGTTGGGTGCAGTGGCTGACGCCTGTAATTCCAAGACTTTGAGAGGCGGAGGTGGGTAAATCACTTGAGGTCAGGAGTTCGAGACCAGCCTGCCCAACACGGTGAAACCCCGTCTCTACTAAAAATACAAAAAATTAGCCAAGTGTGGTGGCAGGTGCCTGTAGTCCCAACAACTCGAGAGGCTGAGGCAGGAGAATCGCTTGAATCTAGGAGGCAGAGGTTGCAGTGAGCTAAGATCATGCCACTGGCCACTGCATTGCAGCCTGATCAACAAGAGTGAAACTCCATCTTAAAAAAAATAAAAATAAAAAAGTAAAACACCTTCTAAATGTCTGTATTCTTCTTACAATCAATGACATAATTCAAAATTAAGTATTTTTTCAAATTTGCAACTCACTGTTTCAGGCAGAGTTGTATCAGTTCGGCTGCTAGAAGTGCTGCTTTTTGTGTAGACTGGCTCCCTGGCCACAATCAGTTGCAAAGATCCAGTGGGGTGTTGTAATAATGCAATGGCTTGCTGATGGGAAATGTTCTGATCCAATGGCGTGTGATTAATGGCCAATATTTGATCATTTTCCTTTAATCTTTGATCCCTTAATCACATAAGAAAAGAAATTTTTGTTTTAAGTGATCTAACAGCCTGATTTTTAAAAAACAATTATTCAAGTTAAGCAGTTTGCTGCCTATGGTACTACTTTACTTAGTACATTTATCAAATAATTATTTAATTATAAAACAGAGCCCTTCAGAGTGGTTTTTCACAGAAGTTATTAACTAATTACTGAATTTGGTAATGCATCCTTAAACACAAAGACACATTTTAAAAACCACCTGGCTAGAAAAATAAACAAAAACAGGCCAGGCATGGTGGCTCATGCCTGTAATCCCAGCACTTTGGGAGGCCGAGGCGGGTGGATCATGAGGTCAGAACTTCGAGACCAGCCTGGCCAACAGGGTGATACCCCATCTCCACTAAAAATACTAAAATTAAGCAGGCATGGTGATGCACGCCTGTGATCTCAGCCACTCAGGAGGCTGAGGCAGAAGAATTGCTTTAATCCGGGAGGCGGAGGTTGCAGTAAGCCGGGATTATGCCATTACACTCTAGCCTGGGTGACAGAGCAAGACTGTCTCAAAAAAAAAAAAAGAAAAGAAAAGAAAAACAATCTATAGAATCTTTAGGACCTCGTCAAGGTTTTGTAAGTATGGACACTGCCTCCATTACTGCATGAACCCAATACTCCCGAATCCCTTCCGACCTGATCTCTACCCGTACCACACTGGGGTAACAACAGTCTCAACTATACCAATAACCTCCTCTCACCCCGTCTTCACTGTCTATTTGTCCTCTATTTATCAATAGAGGCCAAACATTCCTTGAAAATTCATAGACATTACTTCCAAATTTCTGTCTGAGCCTTTTTTTTTTTTTTTTTTTTTTTTTTTTGAGGCAGGGTCTCACTCCCATTTGCCCTGGCTGAAGTGCAACGGCACAATCGTAGCTCACTGCAGCCTCAACCTCCTACACTCAGGTGATTATCCTATCTCAGCCTCCCAAGTGGCTGAGACTACAGGTGAACTCTCTTGCCCAGCTAATTTTATATTTTTTGTAGAGACAGGGTTTTGCCATGTTGCCCAGGCTGCTCTTGAACTCCCAAAGTGCTAGGATTACAGCCATGAGCCACTAAACTTGGCCAATCCGAACCCTTTTAATCTCTCCCAAGCACCAATCTCCCAACTGCTAACCAGGGTAGGAAGGACTATTTTTAAAAGAAATTAGCAAAATCTCTAAAGAAAAATAGTATTTACTGAGCACTTATGAGTCAAGTACTATGTTAAGTGCTTTACATGCATCTCAGATAATCCTTATTTCACCTTTAAAGTACTTAGTAAACTTTACATATTAAGGAATTGAAGCCTAGACAAGCCTAGTAGCTTACCAAGAGTCAGATTCTGAGCACAGCCTTTAACTTCTTATGTTAAAGTGCATCCTAAAGATAGCCTAGGATTTGCTCTGTCCTGGTTTACTGTATTTGATTTTATTATCTCCCAAACATCATTGATACTCTTCCTCTTCCAGTTTACCCATTCTGACCACAATTCTTGAAGAATTACTGCCTTAGATGGCATAAAAAAAACCACACAAAGTCATGGAAACGCATTATGTTTGAAACCTGAGTTGGGGAGACCAGAATTAATCCCCCATGAATGGAGAATGTGAATTCAAAAATATATTATTGACTAAGAATCTTAAAATAGTATACTACCATTGTTGCTGTTATTCTAACATGCACACTGGAATAGCATACTTATTAAATGAATAACAAACCAAAGACTGGAAATAAGAGACAAAATAGAAGGCTTGCAAATACCCTTTCAAAAATAAAAGCAAATGCAATATGGGAGATAACACAGACTTGAGGGGCCTCTTAATTGACAAGAAGAATAATAAATCAGTAGAGTGACATGTTCACCAAAATGTTGTTATAATCTTAAGAATAATAAACAAGTAATATAAAGAATGAGAATTTCAATATTCCTATCCTACTGATCAGTCCATAGCTAAAATATCATGTTTAATTGTAAGAGAGGGTAATACAGCGCTAGCTTTCAGTCAGATGGTCTTGGAATCACATCATGGCTCCAGCATTAACAGCTCTGTGACAATGGGTTAACCACTGAACCTCTGAGTCTCAGCTTTCTCATCTATGAAACAGAATGATGATACCTATATAGTGGAACTGCTGCCACAGGGTGTAGAAGAGTATTCACAAAACGACTGATGAATGCATAACAAAAGCTAAAGCAAATGTTAGCTGCTATTGTGACTGTTTTTAATAATAGTTTTTCACTCTCTTTATGATAGTTTTCAGAATTATCAGGAAACAATTAGCAAACGAAAATAAATAGCTCCCTCACCTGTCTGCTACGCCCCCTGGCTGGACATCCTTCACAAAGATATCAACTTTTCCCAGATTTTGACTTCTGAGGGCCACCACACTGAATCCAAGACCTCCAGTTGAAGGTCGTTCTATATCTATATATTCAATTTGCCGCCCCTAATGAAAAAGTATTAAAAAAAAAATCAATGGTGTACATTTAACCAACACACCCTTTCTGCAGAACTGAAATTGCTTAGCATAAAAACAGCTTTTCCTAAGAACCACATAAACTCAGCATTTCAGTAATAAATTATTTCTGGAAATCCTTTCACTTGATTATTTTCAGTAGAACATAAGAGAAAGTGTGCAGTGTTCTGCAACCTCAGGGAATCAGAGGTATTTTCACACTTCATTCACATCATGAGATGACTCCCAAGCTGTATGGAAATTCCTGAGAAAAATGCCTTTTCCCACAGTAAACTCTCAATTACTTTTTTACATTGAATTTCCCTAAATTCTCTTGATGCAAAGTACATTCTTTTTAAATTTTATTCTTTGAGACAGGGTCTCGCTCTGTTACCCAGGCTGGAGTACAGTGGCATGATCTCTGCTCACTTCAACCTTTGTCTCCTGGGCTCAAGCAATCCTTCTGCCTCAGCCTCCCAGGTAGCTGGGACTATAGGCACATGCAACCACGCCTGTCAAATTTTTGTATTTTTTGCAGAAACGGGGTTTTGCCGTGTTTCCCAGGCTGGTCTCAAACTCCTGAGCTCAAGTAATCCACCTCTTTTTTTTTTTTTTGAGGCAAGGTATCACTCCCATTTGCCCAAGCTGAAGTGCAATGGCACAATTGCACAATCTATCTGAGCCTACAAATGGGAGCCACAGGGCCCAGCTGCAAAACGTATTTTTAAATGAGGAAAATAAATCAGATATATCAAAAATACCTATATATATATATAGCCTAAGTCAGAACCCAGCTGGTTCTGACTTACGCTATATACTGGCATTAAATGGGTTCTACCTGTGGTAGACAGGTCTTTTATTGATTTAGTTAATAACTGCATTTACAACATGAGAACTTCATAAATGTGATCAACTAAAAAAAAAGCACACGTAAAAATAATTATTAGCCAAATGAATGGGATAGAACTATAAAGTTAAAAAAGAAATTAGGTCCATAATATGATTTAATTATCGTACTTTAAACAGATGCTATTTAACAGTGAAACTCAAGTTTATTTATTATTATTATTATTATTATTATTATTTTAAGACAGAGTCTCACTCTGTTGCCCAGACTGGAATGCAGTGGCACGATCACAGCTCACTGCAACCTCCACCTCCCAGGTTCGAGTGATTCTCCTGCCTCAGCCTCCCGAGTAGATGGGATTACAGGTGCCTACCACCATGCCCGGATAAGTTTTTGTATTTTCAGTAGAGATGGGGTTTCACCACATCAGCCAGGCTTGTCTCAAACTCCTGACCTTGTGATCCACCTGTCTTGGCCTCCCAAAGTGCTGGGATTACAGACATGAGCCACTGCACCCAGCTATTTATTTGTTTTTTAAGAGACAGGTCTTGGTCAGGTGCAGTGGCTCACGCCTGTAATCCCAGAACTTTGGGAGGCTGAGGCAGGTGGATAACGAGGTCAGGAGATCAAGACCATCCTGGCCAATATGGCAAAACCCCATCTCTACTAAAAATACAAAAATTAGCTGGGTGTGGTGGCACACACCTGTAGTCCCAGCTACTTGGCAGGCTGAGGCAGGAGAATCGCTTGAACCCAGGAAGCGGAAGTTGCAAGGAGCCGAGATCATGCCACTGCACTCTAGCCTACGGACAGAGTGAGACTTTGTCTCAAAAAAAAAAAAGAGAGGGAGAGACAGCTCTTGCTCTGTCACCCAGGCTGGAGTACAGTGGCACAATCATAGCTTACTATAGCCTTGAATTTCTGGGCTCAAGTGATTCACCCACCTCACCCTTTCAGGCAGGATTTCATCACTTCTGGCAAGCTATATTAATTTAGCTCCTGTCATCAAAATGTTTAAGAATCTTCCTTTAACAAGAACAGAGATGCATTCAATTAGCCATTGTCTAAAAATTCTCCTTAGTGAGACCTTATCTCAAAAAATAAATGTTAACTAATTTTTTTAAAAACTCTCCTTACCACATACACGGATACTTTCCTTATGAAATTTTACGCCAATAAAATTTCAACACAAATGTTAGAAAATGGTGTCAGTTCCTCCTAACATAAAAATACAAGCAAGCAAAATACCTGCTAACACATTTTACAGCAAAAAGAATGAGTATTAAATTCCTTTTTAAAACTCAAGCAGGAGAAACGAAGCTAAATATTTCCATAAGAAGATACAACTTTACCTGAGCCAGCTGCTGAATGACTGAGTTAAAGTCTTCATTTCCCAACTTTGGGGTCCACGGAAATAGCCCAGATACAGTCGAGTTACTAGCGGGCCTGTGGGCATTTCCATTGGTAATGGAGCTATCCGTAAACACTAACAAACCTTTCCTAGAAAAATCAAAGTTGGCTGAACAATCTGAGGGTATATGGTTGAGCTGTTGGAGAGAAAAAAAAAGAACCATCAACAGAAATCTATAGAAAAATTGTGTCTATTTGTTAAATATTATATTTTGACTATTACGTGGATAATTTGCACATTAATTATATACATGGGAAAGAAATAAGGTAAAGATACATCAATCTGTGTATTCGGCCGGGCGCGGTGGCTCAAGCCTGTAATCCCAGCACTTTGGGAGGCTGAGGAGGGTGGATCACGAGGTCGAGAGATCGAGACCATCCTGGTCAACATGGTGAAACCCCATATCTACTAAAAATACAAAAAAATAAGCTGGGCATGGTGGCACGTGCCTGTAATCCCAGCTACTCAGGAGGCTGAGGCAGGAGAATTGCCTGAACCCAGGAGGTGGAGGTTGCGGTGAGCCGAGATCGCGCCATCGCACTCCAGCCTGGGTAACAAAAGCGAAACTCCGTCTCAAAAAAAAAAAAAAAAAAAAAAAAAAAAATCTGTGTATTCACAAGGCTAGAATTTTTTTAAATTTATTATTATACAAAATGTGTAACAGCTTAACATGTGTTCTTGTTTCCTGCCTTCTACCACTACTCGAAGTTAACAGCATGTACACTGACATCCCATTACACTTCACATATACAGATGCATCCAGTCATATAAAGGTGTAAGGCACTAAATCCTTTTGCATTTATCTGTACATTTCCATGTGGGGAGCCACAAACGATCCATAGGTAGTACATGATGATAATAATAACTGTACTTAAGTGCTTGCTATGAATAAGTATTGTACCAGAATGACTACAGGTATTATCATTTAATTCTTACAACTGTCTAATGAGATATCATTATCCCATCTCGTAAGCATAAAAACTGAGGCACACAGGGGTTAAGTAATTTACTCAAGATTAGTAGTAAGTGAGTCACAGAGTCATTTAAACATTGGTAGAAAGAGAAGAATCATGTAATTACAGTGAACATAATTTAAAATATCACTGGCTGATACAACTGCCAAAACAGTGGAATAAAGGTAACATTAAGAATAAATGGGCCGGGCGCGGTGGCTCAAGCCTGTAATCCCAGGACTTTGGGAGGCCGAGGCGGGTGGATCACGAGGTCAAGAGATCAAGACCATCCTGGTCAACATGGCGAAACCCCGTCTCTACTAAAAATACAAAAAATTAGCTGGGCGTGGTGGCGCATGCCTGTAATCCCAGCTACTCAGGAGGCTGAGGCAGGAGAACTGCCTGAACCCAGGAGGCGGAGGTTGCGGTGAGCCGAGATCGTGCCATTGCACTCCAGCCTGGGTAACAAGAGCGAAACTCCGTCTCAAAAAAAAAAAAAAAAAAAAAAAAAGTCACCGGGCGTGGTGGCTCACGCCTGTAATCCCAGCACTTTGGGAGGCCGAGGCGGGTGGATCACGAGGTCAAGAGATCAAGACCATCCTGGTCAACATGGTGAAACCCCGTCTCTACTAAAAATACAAAAAATTAGCTGGGCATGGTGGCGCGTGCCTGTAATCCCAGCTACTCAGGAGGCTGAGGCAGGAGAATTGCCTGAACCCAGGAGGCAGAGGTTGCGGTGAGCCGAGATTGCGCCATTGCACTCCAGCCTGGGTAACAAGAGCGAAACTCTGTCTCAAAAATAAATAAATAAATAAATAAATACAAAAAATTAGCTGGGCATGGTGGCACATGCCTGTAATCCCAGCTACTCGGGAGGCTGAGGCAGGAGAATTGCCTGAACCCAGGAGCCAGAGGTTGCGGTGAGCCGAGATTGCGCCATTGCACTCCAGCCTGGGTAACAAGAGTGAAACTCCCTCTCAAAAAAAAAAAAAAAAAAAAAAAGAATAAATGTCAGTGGTAAAAGCCCATCTCTACTAAAAATATAAAAGGTAGCTGAGCATGGCGGTGCACACTTGTAATTCCAGTTACTTGGGAGGCTGAGGCAGAAGAATTGCTTGAACTCCACAGGTGGAGGCTGCAGTGAGCCGAGATTGCGCCACTGCACTCAGCCTGAGAAAATGAGACTCTGTCCCAAAACAAAAAAAAAGAATGACTGTCGAGCTGGTTGTGATAGCTTACACCTATAATCCCAGGACTTTGGGCGATCAAGGCAGGAGGACCACTTCAGCCCAGGAGGTCAAGACCAGCCTGGGCAACAAAGTAAGACCCGCGTCTCAACAAAAAATACAAAAATTAGCTGGGCACGTGTCACGTGCCTGTGGAAGAATTGCTTGAGCCCAGGATGTCGAGGCTACAATGATCCATGATCACACCACTGCACTCTAGCCTGGGCAGAGACTGCCTTAAAAAAAAAAAAAAAAAGATGCTGGGCATGGTGGCTCAGGCCTATAATCCCAGCACTTTGGGAGGCCGAGACAGGTGGGTGACCTGACGTCAGAAGTTCGAGACTAGCCTGGCCAACATTGAGAAACCCCATTTCTACTAAAAATACAAAATTAGCTGAGTGTGGTGATGCATGCCTGTAGTCCCAGCTACTCGGAAGGCTGAGGCTGGAGAATCGCTTGAACCCAGGAGGCAGAGGTTGTGGTAAGCTGAGATCGTACCATTGCACTCCAGCCTAGGCAACAAGAGCAAAACTTAGTCTCAAAAAAAAAAAAGAGTGAATGTCAATAAAACCTCATAGAAAAAATCTAAATCAAAACCCACAGTTACAGGGATTATACAGCCCAATGGATAAAATATGACTGTGCACACAGCAACTGCAAACTATACAAATACAAAGAACTGCTATTAGGATAGGGCGGTTAGTTAGATCCACTCTTAGTCCAACAAATGTGATAGATTTCTACTGATCCTCGCCTATTTCAGTTGTTACCAACAGCATTCACTATTGTGATATTCTATGACCAAGAGAAATACAGAAAGCTAAACATCAATATAGGCAGTGCTAACATTAAAGTATAAATTCTGGTCTAAAGAAAGCAATTCACAGAAAGACATGTGTAGAGTTTAATCCTTAATTGGCTACAAACAAATCACTCACAAAATACTTAATAGGCAAGCATTTTAGTTTATGAGCAAAAACCATTTTTTCCCAAATTTTGTAAATTTTCACTTAACCCTGATAAATTATCTCCCATTATGTTTTAAATTCTGCCCAAATTTCATCTATAGTATAGCTACTATTTAAGCTCAGCTTCCAGAATTGGTGATTTAAAAGTAATTTGCCATCCCTGACTCCAAAACAGAGACTCCAAGAGGACAGTCAAAACCATGAATTTCTGATTCGATCTCAGCACCAAAAAAAAAAATCTCACTTCTAATTTGCACCCCTCTAAGAAGAAGTGCTATGTGTCCCTTATTCAATAATGATGTATAAAGCCTGCAGAGTCCAGAGAATCTGGTAAATGAGGAGAGGAAACACAACTATATATTTAAATATCAGGTACACTGCTTCCAAGGAACTTCTAATGAGAATATGCATTAGAGAGACAATAAATATTTGATAATTAAGAGAAGTGTGATTATTGTGCTACAAGGGCATGATCGCTTCTTGTTAGATAAAAGACTTCCTAAGGAAAATACACGTGGGCGGGGAGGCTCATGTCTATAATCCCAGCACTTTAGAAGGCTGAGGTAGGAGGACTGCTTGAGGCCAATAGTTTGAGACCAGCCTGGGCAACTTAGGGAGACCCTGTCTCTATAAAAATTTTTAAAAATCAGCCTCAGTGTGGTGGCACACACCTATCCCAGCTACTCTGGAAGCCGAGGTGGGAGCATTGCTTGAGCCTGGGAGGTCAAGGCTGTAGTAAGCTAAGATCACACCACTGCACTCCAGCCTCAGTGACGGAGAGAAAAGCTGTCTCAAAATAAAAAGAAAATATATTTAAGTTAAGTACTATTTTATAATTTTGAAAAAGATGTTGAGAATTCTCAAAGTATCTGACCTTTACATACTTAAATAAGCAGTACAAAAACTATACTCTAAAATCAATTTTTTTTTTTTTTTTGAGAGACAGGGTCTCACTCTGTCATCCAGGCTGGAGTGCAGTGGCATAATCATAGCTCACTGCAACCTGGAACTCCTGGGCTTAAGCAATCCTCCCACCTCAGCCTCCTGGGACTATCCAGGACTGACTGGTAGCTGGGTACTGGTAGCTGGGTGTGGTGGCTGGGACTAACAGTACATGCCATCACACCCAGCTACCAAACAAAAAATTGACTATTGACATTTTTAAATTATCCATGTCAATGCTACCTACAGGTTACAGGTTACAGATCCCAATACAGTCTCTTTGCTGAACTGATTCCTTAAAGATAATTTGTCTTTGTCTATCTCCTTTATGTTTCTTTGATGGTTTGAATATATTAACATATTAATGTAAAACTCTGATGGGTAACTTACTTGCCCCTTCAGTTGCTTGATGGACTGCTGAAGTGTGAGTATCTGGTTGAAGAGAGGACTCTTTAGTGTCTCATAAAACATAGATAACTTCTCATTCTGCGATGTGTCACCCTTCTCCTGCAATTTCATTTTCAGGCGATCAAGAACCTGCAGGACCTGCAGTTTATCTTGGGTCAAGATGAATAAGCAGAATAATAGTTAAGTCCCATCTGAGATTCCATTTTTAAATCATTAATTAATTATAGAACAATATACCTAGTATACCTGTAGCAGGATTTTCAGGCATCTTGAATTCTTCTCTTCATTCACTCTTAAAGATATCTTAAGAAAAATTTAAAAATATAAAAGATGAATTTCAATTGTGTATGGCTATAATCCTACAGAAAATTTAAGAAAAACTTCAGCCGGGCACGGTGGCTCAAGCCTGTAATCCCAGCACTTTGGGAGGCCGAGGCGGGTGGATCACGAGGTCGAGAGATCGAGACCATCCTGGTCAACATAGTGAAACCCCGTCTCTACTAAAAATACAAAAAACTAGCTGGGCGTGGTGGCGCGTGCCTGTAATCCCAGCTACTTAGGAGGCTGAGGCAGGAGAATTGCCTGAGCCCAGGAGGCGGAGGTTGCGGTGAGCCGAGATCGCGCCACTGCACTCCAGCCTGGGTAACAAGAGTGAAACTCCGTCTCAAACAAAAAAAAAAAAAAAAAAAGAAAAACTTCAAGAACATTCTTTATCAAGACTCCACTCAGTGAAATTCAAATTACAATCACAATGAGGTGCCACTACACACCCACTAAGATAACTAAAATTAAAAAACAGACAATAATACTAAGTGTCAACAAAGCTGTGAAGTGCCTGGAACTATCTCGTCCATTACTAATAGAAATGTAAATTGTCACAACCACTTTGGAAAATTGGTGGTTTCTTTTTTTTTTTGAGACAGAGTCTTCTCTATCGCCAGTCTGGAATGCAGTGGCACAATCTTGGCTCACTGAAACCTCCACCTCCCAGATTCAAGTGATTCCGCTGTCTCAGCCTCCGAAGGAGCTGGGACTACAGGTGTGCGCCACCACACCCAGGCAATTTTTTGTATTTTAATAGAGACGGGGTTTCACTATGTTGGTCAGGCTGGTCTCAGTCTCCTGAGCTCATGATCCACCAAACTTGGCCTCCCAAAGAGCTGGGATTACAAATGTGAGCCACCATGCCTGGCCTCTTTTTTTTTTTTTTTTTAGACAAAGTCTCCCACTGTCACTCAGGCTGGAGTGCAGTGGTGTGATATCCGTTCACTGCAACCTCCGCCTTTCAAGTTCAAGCAATTCTCTTGCCTCAGCCTCCCAAGTAGCTGAGATTACAGGCATGGGCCACCACGCCTGGCTAATTTTTATATTTTTAGTAGAGACGGGGTTTCACCATATATTGGCCAGGCTTGTCTTGAACTCCTGACCTCAGGTGATCTGCCTGTCTTGGCCTTTCAAAGTGCTCGGAATACAGGCATGAGACACCGTGCCCAGCCAGTAGTTTCTTATAAAATTAAAAATACACTTACTATATGACCCAACACTTCCACTCATAAATACTTAACTCAATATTTATGAAAATACATGCTCACAAAAACACCTGTACATGAAAGATTTTAGCATTTTTATTTATAAAAGCCCAAAACTAGAAAAACCCAAATGTCTAGTAACAGATGAATAAACAAATAATGGTATATAATATTCAGAAATAAAAAAGAAAAAGGGTAAATCTCAAAAATGATATGTTGAGAACAAGAAACCTGACCCAAAAAGGCACAAACTGTACTGCATGATTCCATTCATATGAATTTCAAGTACTGACAAAACTAATCTATAATTATAGATTAATTTACCTGGGACGGGGTGAAAGGGAGCTATGGTAGGCTTCAGAACATGCAGCTCCCAAAATATGACACCTTGACATGTTGAATAATCTAAGCTGAAGGAATCTGAGAAACAGCAGGTGCAGAAAGGACTTCCCCTGAAGTAGACCATAGGATTCTCTGGTGAGAGGTTCCTCTCTATTCCCAGAAGATAGCAGCATCCTAATCTCAAAACACAGGCCGGCGTGGAATCATGGCTATAAGTCCAGCATTTTAGGAGGCCCAGGCAGGAGGATCACTTGCACCTCAGAGTTTGAGGTCAGTCTGGGCAACACAGTGAGATCCTGTCTCCGCAAAAAAATTTTAAAAATCAGCCATGCAGGCTAGGCACAGTGGCTCACACCTGTAATCCCAGCACTTTAGGAGGCTGAGGCAGGTGGATCACGAAGTCAGGAGTTCAACACCAGCCTAGCCAAGATGGTGAAACCTCTCCTCTACTAAAAATACAAAAACTGGCTGGGTGTGGTGGCAGGCACCCGTAATTCCAGCTACTTGGGAGGCTGAGGCAAAAGAACTGCTTGAACCCGGGAAACTGAGGTTGCAGTGAACCAAGATTGCATCACTGCACCCTAGCCCGGGCAGCAGAGCAAAACTCCATCTCAAAAAAAAAAAAATCAGCCATGTATGGTGGCACACACCCATAGTCCCAGCTGCTCAGGAGGCTGAGGCAGGAAGATCACTTGAGCCCAAGAGGTTGAGGCTGCAGTGAGCTATGATCGAGCCACTGCACTCCAGCCTGGGGAACTGAGTGAGACTCTGTCTCCAAAATTTAAAAAAAAAAAAAATCAATGAGGAACACCCAGAGGAATCTGAACAAATAGGCCTTGTTAAGTTTTTCCCAGTTTAGTATTCTTAGCTCATATCCCTTTCTGCCCTATCACATTCCACAACTCTTCCTTCTTCATCAAACCTAATTTTAAAACACTCAGGTTTAACTGTTTCTTCCGGTCTTCACTTCCTTATGAAGGCTCTCATGTCACATAAAACTTAATATTAAACAACTTTTTATGTTTTTCTCATTAATCTACGTTTTATAACAGGGTCCCCAACCAAAAACTTAGAAGGGTAGAAGCTAAAGATATTTCCCCTCCCCGACACTGGGAAGGGGTTCAAGGAAGCTTTTTGGGGTGATGGAAACATTCTGTCTTGAAGGTGGTACTGTTTACACAGATGTATATGCTTAGCAAAATTGATCAAACCAGGCCAGGTGCAGTGACTCATGCCTGTGATCCCAGAACTTCAGAAGCCCAAGGCGGAAGGATCACTTGAAGCCAGGAGTTTGAGACCAGTCTGGGCAACAGAGTGAAACCTTGTCTCTACAAAAACAAAAAAATTAGTCAGGTGTGGTAGCTTGTACCTGTAATCTCAGCTACACTGGAGACTGAGGTGAGAGGATCACGAGCCCAGGAGGTTAAGGTTGCAGTGAGCCATGATCATGCCACTGTACTCTAGCCTGGGTGACAAAGGGAGATCCCGTCTTAAAAAAAAAGAAAAGAAAAGTCCCCAAGCTGTACAAATGATTTCAGACTCTTACTAGTCATCTACACCTCAAAAGAAATCAACCAAGGCTGGTTAAGGCAGCTAATGCCTTGTAATCACACACCTGGGGAGGTCAAGGCGGGTGGATCAGCTGAGTTCGGGAATTCGAGACCAGCCTGGCCCACACAGAGAAAAGCCATTTCTACTAAAAATACACAAATTAGCTGGGCATAGCACTTGCCTATACCCAGCTACTTGAGAGGCTGAGACAGGAGGATCACTCAAGCCCAGAAGGCAGAGGTTGCAGCGAGCCAAGATCATGCCACTGGACTCCAGCCTGGGTACCAAGAGCAAAACTCCATCTCCAAAAAAAAAAAAAATAGAAGTGACTTCGTATCAGTATTTTCAGTAAGTCGATAATATGAACTAATGTAGAAGAAAGTGAAATTCTCTGAAAGATGTGCCTGCTGGCTGGGGGCTCCTCCAGGAAGGAATGCTCATCTGTGTCTGGCTTCTACCTGTAGCCTCTGAATCATGAGTAAGGTTTGGAGTTGGGTAAGATTTCACATTCATATGAGGATGCTTTGAGAATCTAACCCTTTTCATTAGAGGAAAACAGAATTTCAGAATGAGTGCATTATTTTCACATTTGTAAGAAAAAAAAAAATGTGTGTGTGTAGGCTTCTAGAAAAAGAGTTAAGCCAAGAATGATGGCATGTGCCTATAATCCCTGCTACTTGGGAGGCTGAGGTGGGAGGATCACTTGAGCCCAAGAGTTCAACATCAGCCTGGGCAACATAGCCAGATGCACACATATCAAGAAAAAGAGATTTAGAAAGATAGTCAATTTAGTAATAGTGATTACTTCAAGAGAGCAGACGTGATGATGGAGAGATTGAAAAATTAAACTTTTCACTTCACCGATTTAAATGCTGCAGGTTTTAATTTTCTAATTTAAAAACTAGGGAGCAGGCATGATGGCTCACGCCTGCAAACCCAGTATGTTAGGAGACAAAGGTGGGTGGATCGCTTGAGCCTAGGAGTTTGAGATCATCCTGGGTAACATGGCAAAACCCTGTATCTACATAAAATACAAAAATTAGTTGGGTGTGATGGTGCACACCTGTAGTCCCAGCTATTCAGGGGGCTGAGGTGGAAGGATCACCTGGGTTTGGGGAGTTTGAGGGGGCAGTCAGCCAAGATTACAACACTGCACTCCAGCCAAGAACAGCATGAGACCCTGTCTCAAAAGCTCAAAATAAAAATAATAAAAATAATAGGGCCCAATGCAGTGGCTCACACCTTTAAACCCAGCACTTTAGGAGGCTAAGGTGCAACAATTGCTTGAGCCCAGGAATTCAAGATCAGCCTGGACAAGATAGTGAGACCCAGTCGCTACCAAAAAATTCAAAAATTAGCCAGGCCTGTTAACTCATGCCTGTAGTCCCGGCTACTCAGGAGGCTGAGGTGGGAGGATCAGGTGAGCACAGAAGATCGCCGTTGCAGTGAACCATGATTGCACTACTGCACTCCAGTCTGGCAACAGAGCAAGATCAAAAGTAATCATAATAATAATGAAGTAAAAGTGACAAAAAGATGATAGCTACGACAGTCTGCAAGTCACACAGTAGGATAATTATACTGTAAGGCATAAACACACAATAGCAGAGCAGAGGTATGTACCACATGCTAAGAGAAATCATAAATAAAGAATGACTAACCCTGTCTAAAAAGTTTAGGAATACTGGAATGAGAACACATCAGAAACCTCTCTCACTGTAAATTAAAAAAAATAGGTCAGGCATGGTGGCTCACTTCTGTAATCCCAGAACTTTGGGAGGCTGGGACAGGCAGATCACAAAGTCAGGAGTTTGAGACCAGCCTGGCCAATATGGTGAAACCCCCGTCTCTACAAAAAATTACAAAAATTAGCCAGGTATG